AACACAAAAAAGACACACACACACACACACACACACACATGCACACACACACAAACAGACACAACACACACAGACACACACGCACAAACACAAAGAGACACAAACACACACAGACCGACGCACACAGACACAGACACACAGACACACAGGCACACACAAAAACAGGCACACAGCACACACACACACACACACACACACACACACACACACACACACACACACACACACACACACATGCACACACACACAAACAGACACAACACACACAGACACACACACGCACACACAGAAAGAGACACACACACTAACACAACACAAACAGACACAGACCGACGCACACAGACACACAAACACACCACACACACACACACACACAACATGCACACACACACAAATAGACACAACAGAAAAAGAACAACACACACACACACACACATGCACACACACACAAACAGACATAACACACACAGACACACACACAACACGCACAAACACATAGACACACGCACAGATACACACACACACAAACAGACACACACACAAACACAGACAAACACACACGCACACACACCACACACACACACACAAACACACAAACAGACACACACACAGACACACACACACACACACACACACTAAGACACACAAACACACAAACCACACACACAGACACACACACATACACACACGCACACACATACACACACACACACACACACACACACAAACAGACACACACAACAAACACACACAAACAGACACAACACAAAAAGACACACACACACACACACACAGACACACACAAACACAGACAAAGAGACACACGCACAGACACACACACACACACACACAGACAGACACACACACACACACACACACACAACAAACACAGATAAAGAGAGACACGCACAGACACACACACACACACACACACACACACACACACAGACAGACACACACACACACACACACACAGACATACAACACAACCATACGCACAGACAGACACACACACACACACACACACACACAACAAACACAGACAAATACAGACACACGCACAGACACACACACACACACACACACACACACAGAGACACACAACACAAACAGACACACACACACACACACACAACACACACACCACACACACACCACACACACACACACACACAACACACACACACACACACACACACCACACACACACTCGTGTTTTCCTCTTTGTGGGGTCGTAAGTTTTTTTACCCAATTGTGGGATCAACCCTTTCCAGTGGTCCCAGACCTCTGTAATAAATCAGGCAAGCTTAAAAAATTTTTACAAAAATTTGAGTCACTTCAGTTTATCTGAATTTTAAACTTTTTTCTCTGTGCTAGTTTTTTTGGTCACTTATGGGACCATGTTTCTAGCATTCGTTACATTATGGGATCCACTTCCACTCACACACAAATATTTTTAGCCTTTATATCTTAGCAGGGACCATTTACTAAATGGAGATATCAGTTGTTTCTATAGTTTGTTTTTGATTATCAAACAAACTACAGGGCTGCATCAGAGGTTTACAGTCAGATTTAAATCCTGCATCTCTTCTCCTTATATTAGGTAGACTGATGTGATGATCAAAAAACAATCACCCGCTGAACATTCCCTAAAGTATAGTGACTTTTCTTGACAAACTAACCCCTTAATCCTATTCAAGGTTAATATTTTTCATTCTGGAACTACCATCAGTCATTTTTTTTTTTTAGAAAACATTTCACAAAATGAACTCTTTGCAACACATTTTGTCTTCAGTGAGCATGTATTATTTGAGGACAAAGATATAGTGACTGTCAGACAATATACAAACTATACATATCAAGATACAAACTTAGTATAAAGTCTGAGTAAAGTCAATAACAAAAAAAGTTCTGTCTAAACTAACTTACGATGACTGGAGATCATTGCTAGAACAACAACTATAAACACGTTTATTTGCTAAAAGTGCATTATCAGGGGCTCAACGTTTCGAGCCATCCGGGCTCTTCCTCAGGTTCCTTACAGCACCTGATGAAGAGCCCGGAGGGTTGGGTTAGAAACGTTGTGCCCCTGATAATGCACTTTTAGCAAATAAACACGTTTATATTTGGGAGCTTAAGCGTTGCGAGTCCTTTTTTGCATCTGTAGTATTTTCCCGACTCAGCACCTAACTAAGTGATGTGCGTGTGTTTTTTGACTTTTACAACTACACTTAGTATATTTAACTAAAAATTGTAATGTAACAACTAAAACTAAAAATGTAACTACACATGATGTAATTACTTTAATGTAATAAAAGCTCATAATGTTATAATCTGAACATACTACAAAACAATGAACGCATTACATTACAACAGTGTAATGTGCATGATGAAATAAGCTACAACATTATGAGAAAGTTAGAATATAAAGTAAGCCAGAGAGTGTTGTTATTTTGAGAAAACAGCATTAAAAAAAACTGCTGCATGCTTAGTTTACAATGTTATAATTTCCTCATTTAGTGAAACATTTTCACTCTATTTTTCTTCGCAGAGCAGAAATTCGATTTTTAATAAAGTATTTCACTGCCCTCCAGTCGCTGCTCTTCAGGGCTTAAGGTTCTGCATCAATGCAGCGCTGGCAGTCCTCCTTCCCTGGGACTTGGTTCATCACAATTAATTTCTTTAAATGTCTTTGTACTGCAGCACATTCTTCTGGTGTCCAGTTTCTTTTAACAGCAGTTTGTTTACCTAAACGGGCATAAAAAGGACAAGTTACAGAGTTTTGAAAACTTAAAATCATAACTAGAACTGAAATACTATCAGATTGATTCAATTGGTCATCCAATGAAGTACTGACTTGGTTGAGAGACCATACAGGACTCTCCCACAGTCAGAAAAATATACAGTTTAACCAAACATTAACTAAATGGGTGTCTTATACCTCTTTTGCACACAAGTGTCACAGAACTACAACCTAATAAAGACAAAAGTGATGGAGGTCTTTTAAAGTTAGCTTATCCATGGCTTAGTCAACCCCAGATTTCAAATATTACCATAAAATCTGCTGTATAAGATGCACTTTTAATACCTATTTTTTCGTCTTAAAAGTTGGCTGTGTCTTGTACACCGGTGCGACCAATATACCAGTATAAAATACTGAAACACGTGCCGTCATTACAGCGGGTGCAGCAGCCACTAACTGCAACCTGACGTGATTAAAACCCATCCCCATTCAGTTTGTATTGAAAGCTGAGTGCACGCTGTGCTGGAAAAGACGGCGACACTGAAACAGGCTGGCTGTGCGACTTTTTTCACATCTTTTCCCCCTCACAAGGTCACAACCATGCATTTACAGAAAACAGTGGTATATTGTGTTGTACTTACCTCTCTTTTTTTCAAACTTCCTCCTCTGGTTTTGGGCAGACGCTGTAGAGGTGCTTTCTTGTAGTGATGCGGTGCTGGCCTCATCTTCTGACCCCTGGGCTTCTGCCATCCTGGCATCTGGTAACAGAAAATAGTTTAAACAAATAAATGAGACAGCTATTGATTAAAATATGAAACATGACTATGAAGTAGCTCTCAGTAAGCTGGCTGAATTTTGGTCTTTGTCATGTATACCTTGATTGGTCATAGTGACAACTATAAAATTGTAGTAATAGAGAGTAAAGATTTTATACAATTATATAATTTGTACATGGTTCCTGTGTCTTTTACAGATAAATGGACAGAATTTGTACATTATTCTTCTCAGCTCACCTCTAGTTTTTGCAGAGCTTCTCTGGTTTCGGGCAGATGCTGCAGAGGTGCTGTCTGGCAGTGACATCACACTGTCCTCATCTTCTGACTCCAGTGCCTCTGTAATGCTAGCAACTGGGTACAAAGAGAGGCCATTTTTAAAAAGCAACCGTGCAATGAGGCCACTGAGACCTTGCAAGACAATAAGTGCACTGACTGGGAAGTGTTCATCTCCCAGACAAGTGTGGCGGAAGCTATTGATGTTCTCACAAATTATATTATCTTTGTGAACACTTGGTTATTGTATTAAAAGTGATAATGATGAGAATCCAGGACCACTAACAATTTGAAAGACACAAAAAGGAAATCAGTCTTTGCTTCAGGCAACAGGACTGAGGCTGAACTTATTCAAGGCAGGCTAAATAATGAAATAAGACAGGAATTATAAGACAAAGGTTTTCCAAGAGGCCAAAACCAGGGATGTCTTGAAAGGTGTCAAGACATTTGCTGGCTTTCCAAACACTGAAGTCCAACCTATGCACAGCTGCAAACTGGAGTGGGAGGAACTGAGTACCAACCTTACACTGATATATGTAGAGTTTTCGCCCAAGGGATACTGAGGGGGTGCTCAAGAGAATAAATGCAAATAAAGCCCCTGTGCCTGACATTATAAGCAGATGCCTTTTTGGAGCTCCACTATAACTGACACTGGCGGTAAAAGGCAGTAAAAGTAAGCATGTTTAAGAGTGTAGATATCTTGGCAACCCCATCAATGACAAGCTTATTTTGAAGAGCAGCAGTAAACTGTTATTCTAGAGTTTCTGGGCCACCCAAAAGTATTCTGAGCTTTCTACAGATGCTTTGAGGAACCTTTAACAACCCAGTGTGGTTTGAAGCAATAAGTGCTGAACTGAATCCCTTGAACAAGATTGTGAGGACTAGGAACAAGATCATCAGACAGGGACAAGAGCCTCTCAGCAGCATCCACAAGAGACTTACAGGAAGACCTCATAAATTGCAGTAGAAAACGCATACCTAACACCCACTAGGCCCCCATGTCCTCTGTACATCTATATAGGTCCTTGTCACTCAGATAAAAAGGGTTTCTCCCCTCTACCCTTAAGCCCCCCTGCTAACAACACACTAACCTTTGCACCTACTTATACACCATTATTGTCAGGAGAGCTGTTGTAGAAATGTGCATTTATTTCTTATGAATAGTGTTTTTTTAAGGTCCTTTAAGAATTTTACAAACACAACATGTGCCATTGATGACCTGAGTCATAATTGGTTTGTGTTTGTTGAATTTGTTTTGTCTGTAAACTGTGTCAACCAAGTTCCTCATTGAAAATAAAATAGCACTAACTGAACAGACTTGAGATGTTTACCTCTCTTTTTCGCAAACTTCCTCCTCTGGTTTTGGGCAAAGCTGCTTTCTTGTAGTGTTGTGGTGCTGGTCTCATCTTCCGACCCCTGGACATCTGCCATACTGGCATCTGGTAACAGAAAATAGTTAAAACAAATAAACGAGACAGAAGTAGCTTTCAGTAAGCTGGCTGCATTTGATCCTTTTCTTTCATGATAATTTAGTATATAACGTGAATCTAAGGTGACTGCGAAAGTTGTGCAAACTCTTCTAATTTGACAGATGGGGAGTTTAAAATATAACAAATACACTTTTTCAAAATTAGAGATTCCATAAAAATCACCAAATATATGAATGCTCTAAATGTTGTGTGATAAGATAGTCACTTTTCCAAATGTGCATTCCCAAAAATTAACAATAAGTAGGGGAACCTGCTGTCATTGCATAGCCAAAGAAAATTGTTACAAATATTCCAATCCAATGATTGATCATTCATAACCAGTGTAAAACAATGCTTCACACATACCTTCCATGACCTCTTGTGAACAGGCCTCAATTTCAACAGTCTCTGAAATGTGTATTGACAAAATAATGTATGAATGAGTTGGACAGATGAAAGTGTAGTGATTCACCTCTGACAATCAAGAGTACAACAAGGGAAACATAAACAGCTGGACTGATTAAATAAATAGTTGAATTTAAATTGCGCTGTTATAGTCAAACTCTAACCACTACAAACTCGCTCTGTTCAAACCTTTATCTTTGCATTAAAATATATTATGACTAAGTACCATTTGAATCAATGTGAATTTCATCCAGGCTCTTTCCTTTGTATTTTCCGAGCTGTCCCTGTTCCAATGCCAGGAGAACTTTGCTTATCTTGGTGAGCTGTAGGGTCCCCTCTGGAAGGCGGTAGTGCTTTCTGTGTACATCAATGTTATGCCCAAGGAAATCTGCCAGCTGGTCAAGTTCTGTGTTCTTCAGATTCAGTACAGTAGAAAGCATTGCAATGTGTTTCCTGAGTTTTGTTGAGGTTAGAGCTTTGGGATTTTTGATATCACTACATTCATGCACTAACTGTCTTATGCAGTCAGAACCCCTGAGGTGGTGGACAGAATGAGGCAATGCAAACAAGAAACCATTTTCAGTCAGTACCCCACATTCTTCTCGCTTCTCAACCAGAGTATCAAGAGATTCCCTCATGAGTGGAGTGAGGAGAACAGGAACTTTCCTTCCTCTCTTTCCAACTATGGTTATCCGGACAAAATGTTTGCAAAGCTTCTGCTCCAGTTCTGTAAGGGCCAAGCTAACATCTTCATGCATTTCTGATTGGTCTCTGGACAAGTACACAGACAAGGGCATTTTGGATACTTCTCCTTCTCTCCGGCGGTTGAAGAGAATTACTTGCCCCAGGGTCACTTTTGCCAGGTCTTTCCAGTTTGAGGGGGAAACCTCTTCTTTCAAGGCATCTAAGTGTTGCTGTTGTTTTTCAGACAGCTGGGAATGAAGTCTTTGGACATCCTGTGTGAATGGTAAGAGCTGAGGACAATTCCACTTAGACTGGTTGAGCTGAATCAGTGCTTGGCTTGCAATGTCAAATTTCCAACTTTCTTGGTAGAGCTGAGCAAATTCCTCAGCACCTTTGACAATTTCTTTATCTCTGGCATTCAATCCTTCCGACTTCACAAACATGGCCAAAGTATGTAAGCTGTGTCCAACTTTTCTGGCCAGTGATGGACATTTATATTTGCCTGTTTCATCACTGAAGCCAGCTAAGCATCTTGCGGCAGTTACAACATGAACATACTTCTCAGGTTTTATGAGTTCTTTTATAGTCTTTACTGGTGTAACTTTTTTTTGCAGCCACAATCAGCCTGCCAAGCTCCCTCAGCTTTTGTCGGATATATTGATGTTGGCTGATTACTCTTTCGTTCTTCTTGAACAGTCTGTAGCCGTACTCCAGAATGCAGCTGTCTTGCTTTACAGCTAATGCAATCTTGTCTTGATTCATGTCATTCAAGAACTTCCAGTATGCATCACTAAATCCAGGTGGAGCGCGTTCAGCAAAAGCACACAGTGCCTGGACCCTTGTTTTACCTGGTTTAGATTTTTTTTCCTGAGGCTTGAATTTGCAAACCTGAAAGTGTCGCCACATCACTTTTTTTGTAAATAGTCCATAGCAGTACACACAATGTAGAAATTCTTGTCCCTCAGTGTTTTTCTTTGGTTGTTGAGCTTTCCTTTCTGGCTCTCGAAAACATTGGTGTTATGTTCAAAGTTTCCTTTGTTTCTAATGAAATCTAAGTGCAGTCGTCTTTCTTTGGAGTTCTTTGGTAGACTGAACGCTTTTGTGACATCAATTTCATCATTGTGCATACGCAACAAATGTCTCGACATTTTTTTAACTACTTTTTTACAATAAAAGCAGTGATGCTTCTTGTTGTAGAGTCTTGAACCATCCTCCTTCTTCAAAACTGGATTCACATAGATGGATGCATTGTTTTCATGGTTTTCAAGGGCATCCTCATCAGCAGGATCGTTGCTTTTTTCAAAGCTGCTGCTTTGACTGGAAGACTCAAACTGGCTCTGACTGGAAGACACAAACTGGCTCTGACTGGAAGACTCAAACTGGCTCTGACTGGAAGACACAAACTGGCTCTGACTGGAGGACTCAGACTGGCTCTGACTGGACGACTTGCATCTTTTAAGACTAGTAGAAACTTTGTTCATATTTTTAATTGTCATGGGTATTTCCAAGCAGCAGTCACTGTCTGTGCTCTCCTCCATTGGACCTGGAATATACTCTTCTTCGCTGTCTACACTTGAGGCATCTGATCCTACAAGAATCTTTTGAATCTTAAGAAAGCCTAAATTAATAACTCAACCTCCTCCCTACCTTATATATGTTTAACATGTATTACAGTCTAGGAGGTTTAATACATGCTAAAATTATGTACATTCAGAGTAGGATGAGTAAAATTCAGAGTGCTTTCAGTCAAGTAAATTCACATCTAAAGAGAAATACTGTTAAGTTACAACAGACTAAGGGACCCACATTTAAAAATAATTCACTATATCAATATTAAATTTATATTAAAAAAAAATCTAGCACAAATCTACTACAATATCTGGGTAGATAACTTTAGTGACTTCAAAAATTTAATAAAAATACCTTCAAACACTAAACTTCCTTACAAGAGTAACAGGCATGCTCATGATGATAGTCTTTATGATTGCATCTCTCTATATGCATGTCTGGAACTTTAGTAAAGGAACTTTGTTTTAAGTTTGGGAGGCACTACCCTCAAAGTGATTACCCAAAAAAAGTAATTAGGAGACTTACAGGACAGTAACAGCCTCTCCTTGGCCTTTGTGAAGCCATCTCAGACTTAGATGGGCCCTCTGCACTGTCATCACTTGAATCATAGAGGGCATCAGAAAAATCTGGAACTTTTTTCATCTACAAAAAAAGAGTGTGTAGTTATCCTTTTTTGCAAACTATTACAATTAATTACAGTTGACAGATTTAAAGGGGAAAGGTCTGTCACTTAGTTATTTGCATTCAAAGTGTCAGGGCCATACCTGAATGCTTTCTGTCCTTCTCAGCTTTGGAACAACTTCAATGTCTGATTGCACATCGGAATGGTCCTTTGTGGAATCCTCATCATTGAATTCTTCCACATTACTCTCAGTTGAATCACTAAGAGTTTGAGGAAAATCTTGTAATGTATCCAACTGCAAATAAGAGTTATGTTAGGGTAAGTTATCTCTTTTTTGTTTAGATATACAAACCTACATGTTAGAAGTAAATACTCGAAGGTTATGTCAGAATAATGGAGTAAATATATCCCAATTTGTTCGTCAAATGGGGAGGTAAGAATTAAAAAGGCAAACCCTTTGCAGAACTGTACTGAAATTGTTGAGAAAATATGAATGAATGCAATAACAATATTACTACTAAATTGGCAGCACCTACAAAAATCAACACCACGCTCACCAAGTAGAGCAACAGACATGTGCAATGATGACCATATGACCAATGATATGTATGTCTAACAGTGTAGTTATTAAAAGAGGTGTTCAGTTTGGCAGGGGTTAACCTTTAAGTGAAAACACAGAGCAATAACAAAAAGGCTTTCAGGATGGTAACAGCCTCCACTCACCCTTTGTGAAGCCATCTCAGACTTAGACTGAGTAGAAGGGCCCTCTGTACTGTCATCACTTGAATCATGGAGAGTGTTACATTATGGTACAGTTATACAGTTTTGTTTGAATTTATCAAAATCAATTACAGGGAAAAAATTAAAGGGGTAAATGACTGACCAATAAATGATTGGTATTTAAAGTGTCAGGGGCATACCAGAATGCTTTTTGTCCTTCTGGACTTTGGAACAACTTCATCATAGTGTGGACCCAATGGCTGGTCATTTAAACAATTCTCATCAGTTTCATCATTGTCAGAATAATCTACCAGGGATGGTCCTCTGGCAGTAAATTCCTAAACATCATAAAAGACGAAATAATCAGGGTGTTAGAGCATAACAACTCTTATAAACACTGTGGTGCAGTTACTATAAGCAGACAGTACATACTTCACTCTAACTGTGCTGGGCTGGTAGCACCAGTGTTAGTGAATTGGCAGTTATTTGTAATGAGAGTCAGGAAATTAGAAAAGAACCTTTTTTTTCCCTCCACATGAAAGCACACATGCTTTGTGAATTAAAACGGTTTGGAGTTGGCTCCTTTGCACAGATTAAAAAAGTGCAAAAGTTGCACAATACTTCAGTACAACAGTCCCTCAGTATAAACAAAAAGCAGGATATATTCCTGACATAAAAACATTCACAAGTTAGAAATGTTTGCATATGTGATGAGATTTTTCTAATGGGCATTAAACTTTGAGCCAAGTAGAATTATTCTTTAAGGGTTCTCAAAACTCTCACAACTTCAAAAAAGGCTGCAAAGTTCTTGTTCCTAAATGTTTTCTTCATCATGCAGCAGTTTAGAATGTGTAAAATTAGAACTGGGAATACTAATGGTAAATTTAAAAAAGTGAGAGGAGTCACCCATTGATAAACAATCACAAAAGAAAGCTCCACACAGTGGGCCCCATGAGGGTCATTCTTATAGGTCTCCCTATCTTGACATCAAAAAAGAGGCCTAAAAAGGATCTCACTTCAAAATATTTTCTTCACCATGCAGTTGCTCATAAAGTGCATTATTTGTACTGTGAAACACTTAGTTTGTATAGTGAGAAGTGTTGTCCTGTAGGTTAACAGTCATTGACAGAGAGGTCCATACGGAGGGCCCCATGAGGACATTGTGTGTGTGTGTGTGTGTGTGTGTGTGTGTGTGTGTGTGTGGAAGAGAAAAGTTGGAAAAATCTCTTGCAGGAAGAGTAATATAGAGGGCCCCATGAAGACATGCACAGGAACATGTGAGTGTGTATCACAAGTTAGCTGACCAAATGAAAGTCAAATAGAAACTAATCAGTCAAGTAAATAGTGTACCCTGTACCAGAACTCAACCACATTCATTATTTCAATTACCTTTGGGCTAGCATCCTCATCCTCATCATGGAGAGACAGATTAACAGGAAGAACATCGGTCTCTTCTTCCACAGCAGGAGTCTGCTTGTATGTTACCTGGTGTTAAGATATATAAAACAAGATGGCAATGAGCTCCAAGTCCAGACACATTTATAGGTCACAAAAGTTTGCTCACATTAAAACCATCTCTGAAACAGCATGTTACTACTCTTTATCAAAAATTAATGATAAATATCTCCTCTCTCAATACTTCCTACAACTATAGCTATATCAGCAACTCTGACAACATGAATCAACTGCAACTGATCAAGTTAAAAAAAATAAAAAAGTGATAAAACTTGCAACTTTGACTGAAAACCTGCACCAGAAAAACACTGCTTATACCTTCCACACAGTTTGGAACTGCATAGTGTTGTATAAGTGAACATAGATATTTTGTAATGGCATTATCCACATTACTTCATTACCTGTACCCCAGCATAATCTCCCTTTGAATCCTCATGGGAAGTCAGCACTGTAGGGAAGGTGTTTGCTTCTACTGCCACAGCAGAAGCCTTCTTGCTTACAGCCTAGAATTAATATAAACGAGACATGACTTTATGATCCATTTCTATGTAAAAACTCATGTGAAAATGGAAATAGAAGACTGGCCTATTTTTATGTTCGTAAAGCAGATCTCTTTAGCACCAACACACCACTTATTAAGCGCTGGTTTCAGCCTTGTGTAGACAGTTTCATTGATGAGAATGAAAGCGGGATGCAGCAGTTGCTAAAGAAATGATCTGCATACCCAAGATGTTTAATGTGGACTGCCCACAAATGTACTATAAGATCTTATGGTCTTCAAATACAGCCATTAGCCAGTTTTAGGCACTTCCCATGTCACTATTTTTCTTAGAAAAAAATACTTTGGACAGTGGTCTATGACTAAGACTATGACTCAAAGATTCTCAATTACAAGACACGTTATGTGAAGTGAACTTAACAACTTTAAAATCATGTAGGGTGACCAATGCATAATCTAACAAGCTCACCTTTTTATGCCATGGCCATTTTGAATCACCATAATTGTAATCAAGTTCAGTTCCTATTTCTATGTTCTTCACAGCAAACAGACACAAATGTGGCCTGTTGTTCACTACAACTTTTTTCATGATGCAGTTTGGAGATTTGTGGTTGTCATTCACTAATCTTCCAAGGGAACCATCTTCTTTGGATGCATCAATACTAAAAGATAAACAAAAACAATACATCAAACTTAGTGCTACTCAAATATCAACTTTTATAAAGTGTCTCATCACGGTTTGATTTGAAGAGCCACTTAAGATATAGAGCACATTAAGTCTAACATTTTACTTGTTAATTCATGAAATATTTAAACACGTTTCAGGTCTAAACAAGAAAACCGTAATTGCTACTAAAAATACATCTCATATACTTACCACCACTTGCGTTTCTGCCAATCAAATTCATACAGGAATGTACTCTGTATCTCTGAGTAGTGCCTTGATCGGCATTCTTCCACTGATATGAATTCCCTCCTGTACTCCAACACAAACGAACCTTGCTCGATTGGTTGGGTAGCAAACACTCCTCTTCCTACAAGGAAACAGAATTAACCCAAATCAATATGTCGTCCCCCTCCTTTGGGAATATCTGTGAGCTGGATTTAATTTCCTAAATGCTTTGGAAACATACCATCTTAAATAAAGAGATGACTTTATCTAGTAATTAGCCAAATTGAATGCATGATGGTCACTGGTCTAATGATGTATTTTTGTTCCTTGAGGATCTTCTCTTTACAGTTGTGTATCATATATGTCTTTCTAAAAATGTTTTGTTTGTGACATGACTTTTAAATATATGGGGTTTCTGTTTAACAGGGACCATCATGTGTTAAACACGTGACCCATGATCCTGTATTTCGGTTCTCTGTTTGTAAAAATAATTCTACGCATTAACTTAAAATGTCACCTCTGAAGATGCCTGACAGTTGCACAGATTTCAGTCCTTTCACGTTTTCATTACTGTCTTCTATTGGTCTAGCACCTACCTTAGTGGTATTTGAATGTGCTGGACACTATACAGTAAATACAGCAGAAATAAAATAAATAACTGACTATATTTGATTTCACTGGTGTGTACATGAAACTTCTCTGATAGAATTCAGGCTTATTAAGACATGCCTATACCTGAACGCATTGGATTTGAACAAAACAGCAGATTGAAGCCAGTTTTTTTCTGTAAAATATCTTCTGACCAGTAGCCTAAATATTTCTTCATTCCAAATGTGTGTGTTAATGAATAGTATTTAGAAATGCAATGCTGTAATTTGCAGCTACCAAAAGGGCTTGAGGTCATACCTTTGATATTGTTGATAAATCTTTCTGCAAACCATGGCTTGTCTCTCGAAGACAGAACGTACGACTTTGCATCTTCGACAGGCTTTATCCTGGACTTCCTTTTGGACATCATGGCTCTGTGAAAATATTTTTATATCATTTCACAGCTGTGCTACACGAGAAAACAGACTGGTCGTTAACTTAGACATAGACATATTTATGTTCAAAGGTTTCTGATATTTGTTGGAAAGTTATCAGAGTCGCATCGCACCTTATTTTATTTTTTAATTTTCACAGTTATGAGAACATAGCATGTGATACGAGTATCGCAATTTTGGATTCATGCTTCAACTACTGTGACTCCTCCACATAGATCATGAAATCACTAGCAAGATGGCGGCCCAGTCAGTCGCAGCGGCCCAGCGCTCTTCACGTCAAGGCAGCTTTTATGTTTTAATTGTGTTGTATTTATGGCTTTGTCATCTCGACGAAGTAGCAGTTACACGTATACAGTACAGCAGATATGAACTTTTCACGGCTACAAAGACAGCTACACAGCCTCAAGCCCTACAGACATAACACTACCTGACACTCTGAATGAGTTTTTTGCCAGCTTTGACAGACTGAACACTGAGACCAACATCTGCTCTGCACTGCCAGTTAAGAACTGTCCTATAAAGATTGAACTACATCAAGTCAGATCCACCCTGCACAGAGTTGACACCAGGACAAAGACAAACAGACTCAGAAACAGTTTCTTTCCACAAGCAGTGAAATGATTATTTCATAACTCGTGTTACACTTCAAAGGGTGGCTCGGACCGCGACGCATTA